GTAGACGCAAAGGACAGTTAGATACAATAACGCTTTCTGTCGACAGAACTCTGTCGACAGAAGGCGTTATTCCTCGTAAAATGAGGTTTACCAGCGTCGACAGAACTCAGCGGTAGTGTAGACGCAGGTTTAGTTTTGTCGACAAAAGTCCACTTTTGTCGACAAAACCCTGTAGTCTAGACACACCCTCAGGGATAACATCAGGCCTTCCAAAACCTTAAAGTGTGCTTGCTATATTCCAGCTGGCAGGCCTGGAGGGATTCCAGACAGTTTCACTCAAATGTATCAAAGCTATATACATTAAATGAAGAATATTAGCTGAGATGCAGCAATGAAGTTTTATTTAGTATTCACATTACAAAATTATCAGTACAACCTCACGTGCCAGAAGATGCTCAAGAATGAACCAAATCTGCAAAACACACATTCCACAGGAATAAACAAAGGCAATGTTCCCTCAAATTTTTTCCATCTGTGTGTGGGAAAAAAATGGTTATGCGCACTGAGGCATGTGCAGATATGCATCACCAATAGAAACACATGCTGCCAGTTTAGGGCAGAGGTGGGCACTCTGACAATCAGCTGGGCAACACTTTAATCTTTCCTGGGTGTTTGCTTACAAAGAACACTGAACACAGGCATTGAAAATTTAGTTACCAGCATTAGAGGAATAGGAGAAAATTCATGGGGGTGCTGACTTTTAAAATGAAGGCAATGTTTGCAGCTACCTTCTCTTTCAAGATGTCTGGTAATACAAATCTATCAAGGTACAGTATCACCTTTTAGAATTTATCCTAGCAACAATTCACAGATTCTAAAGCCAGAAGGGACCATTGCAATCATCTAATCTCCCTGTCTAACACAGGCAAGAGAATTTGACCCAGCAATTCCGGCATTGAGCCAAATAGCTTGTGGTTGGCCAAGAGCACGTATTGTAGAAAGATGTAAAAATGGCCCAAATTCTTAGCTGCTGTAAACATTCTTAGCTCCACTGATGTCAGATCTATGACAATTGACACAGCTGAGAACATATCCCTTACTTAAAGATATGGGCCTCCTTTCCAGTTTGAACGTGTCCTGTTTTAACTCCCAGCCATTGGACCTTGTTATGTTTCTATCTGCCAATTTAAAGTCCCCTGCAAGCAAGAATCTTTTTTCATGTAGAAGGAATAATGAACCAAAATCTGGAAGGAGGAAAAAACAAAACAAAAAAGACAACATGAGTATTAAGACAACTGAATAACTTTCCCAGGAGGCAGGATTAACTATGTCACTTAAGGCTGAAGGGGAAGACGCTTTCCCAAACTATGTATCCGAAATCACTGCTGGCTTCCAACCAGACACAAAAGCGACAAGGAGTCCTGTGGCACCTTATAGACTTAACAGATTTATTGGAGCATAAGCTTTTGTGAGCAAAGACCCACTTCGTCAGATGCATGGGCCAATAAATCTGTCAGTCTATAAGGTGCCACAGGACTCCTCGTCGCTTTTGCAGATTCAGACTAACACGGCTACCCCTCTGATACTTTAAACCAGACACAGGTGTTCGCCTTGTCCTAGATTTGAATGATGCCACTCCCCACAATCACTTTACATCTTCCTTCATGCATATACACATTTTTGCACCATTCCCTTATTCTATAGTCCACCATGACCAAGATCCTGGCCCACAATAGATTCCACCTGGCAAGCAATTATCAGGGTCCATAGCACTTCCCTACCTCCCCAGGCTGTGATGAGAATACACACATGATATCATTGGGAGGGGTTCAGTTGCCATAGCAATAGGGGCTTGTGAAAGTTCCGTACCTAGGTCACTGTGTTGCTTGATGTATGACTGTCAGAGTAAGTCTGGTGGTTTCCTATTGAATTGGGAGCTGACCACAACAGGACTCTGTGTTCACTAAAGGGGATGGCAGATCCCTGGCAACGACAGCCACAGGAACATCTAAAAAAGAACAAATACACAATGATTAACTACAAGGTTACAAACAACAGAGGAAATGAGTTTGCAGAGATTTGCTTAACAAAAATGTCTCTGGCTGGCTGTTGCCCAAGCATCTTTCTAGGGAATCCAAAGCTTGTTGTTTGTTAAAATATATATAAAGCAGAAGAGGCACAAACAACCTGCATTTTTTAAACCAGCTGTCACTATGAGTTATCCTTAAACACAGTCCTCAGTATTGAAGACATGAGCCCAGAGTTTTTGCATGTGTGCTCACTGTAGAAGAGAGAGCTCAGTGCATCTTTACTCAAGATAATGAGGGCCCAACCCCTTACAGACTGAAACCTGCATTTGAAAATAATGGATGAGTTTCCTACTGGAGCTAGAGTAGATTTGTACTTGTTATTCCTGGCAGTTCCACAGGAGATTAACCACTGCCATCCAGGGTTTTTTTCAGTAGAAGAATGAAACTGTTAGAACATTTGCTTAATTATTGATTTAAGTGTCTGAGCTATTCCTTTGGGCAGGAAGAGTTGAATAAAGCAAAACCAATTCTCCCCTGTGGGCTGACGAAAGAAAGTTTGGCTCCCTATCAGAGTAGACCACCTCAGGGACACCAGCAAACGTAAAACAAGTCAGGTTTCTCTCTGGATGGCTTGCCCACTTCCATCACAGTAACACACTAAAATCCCCTGAGCTCCTCTGGTATTTTTCTTTATACCACCAGTTTACTTTGAGCATTTGGCAGCACAAAACCAAATTTATCCTCACACCAGCTCAACACCGAAGGAAGGTGGATTGTGCTATTCATGTATTTAAGGGTTGATGTAGCCCCTCCTCCGCCTTTCCTCAGACTAGGCTCAACATCAAAGGCTACCCTAACTTACTCTCTGGTAATATGCCAGGAAGGGAGTGTAGGACCATCCCGGCCTCGTCTCACCTCTGGCCAGTCCCAGATCCACCCAGAATGTCCCTGAACAGAGAACTTCTTTCAGAGTAGCCCAGAGGCCCTTGTACTGCTCTTGTTTACCAGAGGCAGGAGTACAGACCATTTATGCAAATACTGCAAGAGATTGTAGGACAATACTGACTGCCCCTTGTGAGTAGGGAGTGTCACTGTATGCTCAGCTTCCCTTTTGCTTTGCATGGGGGCGGGGGGGGGAGGGAGGCTCTGCAGCACAAGAGGGGAGAGAAAACCCATCTTGATCAGTAGAAAAAATGATGGTAAGGCCACAAACCTTGGAAGGAGGTTGAGAAGCAGGAATAACACCCAAAGCTGCTACTTTATTCTTTAATTGACTAGATTAGAAGCTGCCCGTAATTGCTAAAGAGCAAGCTGGATCCAATCTCTCTTGAAATGCAATAAATGCTCTATTGAACAAATGACTTCCTTTGTCAGTATTTGGGTTAAGTGAGTGTTAAGATTTTAAAGAAGGTTAAATAATTTTTACTTTTTTAGATTTCTCTTCTCTGTTTTACACCAGGTTAATTTACTAAATTACTCTAGAATGACATGGATGCACATAACAATACAGGACTAGGTAAGTAAGAAAGCATATTTATAACCAACAAATATGGGGGAATCTCTTTCCTCAAATTTCTCCCCTTCCCTCTACCCCATGATATATTGTTTGTAAAGCCTCCCCATCTTTGGACTATTTCATGCTTCACACAGATTAACAAATTTATCCTCAACACCACCCTCCATGGTAAGGAAATACAAACCTCATTTTGCAGATGGAAAACTGTGAAACACAGAGGTCCTAGGCCCAATAATAATTGTAAATAAGTTACCCCAGAGTCAAACAGAAAGACTATGAAAAAGCAGGGGATTGTACCCAGCTCTCATGAATCTCAGAACAGTGCCTACCTGCAAAAGACTCTTTCTGCCCTTGGCAAACACATTAGGGTACTAGATATTTTTGTCACCACTCGTACCAAATGTTTAGTGCCAGTCAATCTACAATAACTGTTGCTATTTCCTCTTGTCCACTGCTAATTTCAAGCACCAGTACACAGTGTCACCACTTGAGGGCATCAAATGATGCTGGTTTAGAAGAATGCATTTTATGGACACCAAGAACGGCAGCATCAATCCATCAGCTGCAGAGCTGACAAGTCCAAGAGATAGTCACTAAATAATAAGGAAACAATTACAGCTTGCAACCAGTTACCAATCTTTTTTCCATCCCATTTCTGTCACCATCCAGTCAAAAGAAGTGCTTGGAATGAAGGGCTCTAGAATGCTATAAGCAAACAAATCCATGTTACACAAGACACGAAAAGTCAATAGTGTGACTTTAGTAACGTGCAAGGTGACGGGCTTAACACACAATGTCACTGGTGAAAGGAGTCGAAAGGTAAACAGAAATGTAAAATTTATTCCGTTTTAACAAGAGAATTAGTTACATTTTAACTTGGCAGCGTCCCTTTATTGCCATAAGAACTTCCAAAATAAAACAGTCACTGTTGATAAAATAAGTAGGTCCTGACTCCATCTCTGAGACAGGCCCTGTTCTTCTACCATTTAATTTAGGAGGATAGTATCAGTAGAGTCAACTTGACTTCACTGGCTCTACTTTCTTAGTCCTCCAGGTGAACATCAATAAGAAACGCCTCATGGCAGAGCCAGAAATTGAATCCAGTTCTCCTGCATCTGAGTCCAGTTCCATAACTTACTAGGATTCCTTCCTCCCCGTGGGAGCAATAACGTAATCCTCCTTTCTTCCTATTAAATAATTAATAGGTTTGAAGCCCACAGGCATTTTTATACTCACCCTATTTTAGGCTCTTGATCAATAATGTTTACCACTGATAACCATATTATAGTGTTATGCATTGGAGATACATATTAAAGCAGATGCAGAAAGCGGCAGAATAATGAAACAAATTCTTATTTCATATTCAGACTTAGCCACAGTCTGCATCCCACTAAGAGCTGGCTGCATAATTTTCACTGAACCAGTTTCAAGATCACAAGAGATGCCCTGTCTACACTGAAGTTTTTATCTTCTTCAGTCACATTAGCACTAGTGTAGCTCCAGTGGTGCTATTAGAATGTACATAGGGATCAGATCTTTTCCTCACTGAGTCACCGGCACATGCTATGGAGTTACAGCCACGGTTATGATGGTGAAAACACCACAGGCCAATTTACACTAGATTGCATTGCTACCACAAGTGCAGCTGGAATGGAGTTAGTACCACACAATGTTCACAAAAACCTGTGTAGATGCAACCTGTGAAATGATGCAGTAATGGACTGCATGGACACCAAGCCAGTCTCAGTTTCCCTTGACACTAGGAATGTAAAAATTTGTTTAAAAAGATAACCGTGTATCCAGTAAACAATCTTAGCAGTTACACGGTTACACACTGTGGGCTCTGCAGTATGCAGTGAAATAAGCTTTATACTGCAGAGCATGTAGCCGGTGAGAGCTGCCGGACCTGCTCCTGGGGAAGAGGCTACAGTGAAGCTGCTTTCCCAAGAGTAGGGTCAGCAGGGGCTGCCAGCTCTACTCCTGGGGAGGCTTTGCTGTGGGTTCTAGTCAACTCCCTGCCAGCCCCCTTCCAGGGAAGGCGCGTGTAACCTGCAGTGGGAGTGGGGGAGGAAGAGAAGCTGCTCCAGATCTTACTGGTTAACCGGAACCAGTAAGCATCACCCGTTTAGGGTGATGCTTACCGGTTAACTTTTCACATCCCTACTTGACACAGCTTTGGCCTTTACGAGTGCTTGTCTGAACCAATGCACCCACAAGAGCAAGAACCCAGTGGACAACATGAAGAACGATTGGCTACTGCCGTGCTTACCTTTCCAACATGAGAAAACACAGAGGTCAGAAAAGGTTCTATCCTAACTGGCAAGAGAGCCAGTGCAGCCATGGCTGAAAGCGATGCAGAGGCACAGAAGTGACAGAAGGGATCTGTCATGCTGGCAAATCTCATCAACTGATGCACCTAGAATGAAAGTATATAATGAAGATGGATCATTACAAATAAGAAGGTATTTGAAGTCACAACCTTACTATGCAGCAAACTTAACAATCACACACAGCCCCAAACCCACACCAGAGGGTGAGTGCTGCGCAGTCTGTAGCACCATCTGCCTCACGGGCTAGCTAAATGCAGCTTCACTGTTCTTAAAAGGCCAAATCTTGAAGCAAAATCGATCTGACTTTCAAAGAGTGGTTCTTTTTCAAGCTCTTCTTCTATAGCAGTCAACCGACCTGCAAAACTGTAATTATTTCTGTAACTCACACGAAGACTAGTTTTAATAGCAGAGTATGATGGGAGGAGTAAGTTGTGAAGAACAATATTGATTCTTGTGCTGGAAGGGACAGAATGAGAGTCTGTACCAGTCTTATTCTATAGCTGGAGGACCAGATCATCCCTCAGTGAAGTTCCTTCTTCAATGGTGCCTTTGTGACTCTGCAAACTGCTAGAGTGCAGGCCCCATCCATGCCTCTTCCTTCCTTTAACCTGCCCATAACTCACTTCCACCTTGGAACATCTCTTATGCCCAGGGCTGCTGTGGAGGCAGCATATAACTCATGGCTGGCCCTGAACAAACACAGGGACCCTTCCATGGAAGATATTCACTGAGGAACCCCTTATGGCTTTTACATTACCACAGAACTATGGAGAGAGCCCAGAATTTTTACAGTATTGCTATGTGCCTGCCATTACCTTTCTACAGACCTACCTCAGATGAGCAGAGTTGCTCTGTGGAAGATTCAAGGCTGCTTATCATCACTATCTCTAAGGTCATGTTATGTTGGGCCAGTTTCAGTCATGCCTAAGAAAAACATACACCTTTTGTGTTACTTATGGATAGAAAGGTTAAAAAAAAATCCAAACCATTTTCCCCATTACAGGATAAGACAATTAATTATTGGGATGACCCTCTATGTACCTTAATGCCCTATTAATTTTCTACTAAAATTAGCACAAAAATGTTTCCTATGATCAGTTTGTGTCCCTGTTGCTGTATCACCAATTATACCCACATATTTTTGTTATGGACAGGCTACCAGCGAAACAAAGAGATCATCCCAACTCTGCAGAGTTAAGACAGATGCTGTTGTGACACCTTCTGTGATTTAGGAGTCTAAGGTTTACTGAAAGTCAATGGAACTCAGGTTCCCAATGGACAGCTGAAAATAGGAATTGGTTACCTAGGCACTTATCAAAATTATAATCTTTGGGCAGAACACACAATTCCTAAGCATGTTCCTTTAACAGAGCAACATATTCAAATATAGTTACACCTATGCATGCTGGATACACTGGCATTATCAAACTTGTGATGAAACAGAGTTCAGTCTTTTCATGGCTTATTTCAAAACAAAACAAAAATACCCACACAGATTTCTGGATTTCCTGGCTGTGTGCATAACTTAATTCAGACGCTAACTCAAGAGAGGGTCGGTCTTTGCAACCTGTAAAGAGAGTGAATCACATGGCAACATTACTTTTCACTCAGCATTTTTCAGCTGAGATTCCAAGTTTGTCTCTCCAGGAATCACAGTCCAGGGAGGCCTTCTGTGTCCTCCGGATTCTGAGCTCTTCTACTAGCCCACCCACCATTAGCAAAGGCAAACTTTGTGTGTCACTGTGAAGGTAAGAGCACATAGGAAAAAATTAAGACAAGACTCCATGAAAGCAGATTTCCCTTCTCCTTAGCAAGCGCCTACCTCTTGCAATTCACCATTTCGAGGCGCCACATTCTGCACTATTGCCACTTAGAAGCGCACTGAAAGATGGGAAGGCCGGGTTGCTAGTTCCCCCACCTGCTAGCACACGATTCAGTCCGGTCTGCACAAGGCAAGATAGTCCGGGGTGCAATAGTCAGTTTGCCCTAACGCCAGCCGGTGGCTTCCGAGCTGCTCTCCAGTGGCTCCAATACCAGCAACCCGGATTAGACCCAAGAGAAATCCCTGGCCGGAGCTGGACCCGTTCTTTGACCCGGGGGCTATCTCCGGGGCAGACTCGCTCGCCCCTTCCTCTCCCTACCTAGATCCAGCCTGGCCTCGGCTCGGCCTGCGGAGACAGCCCAGCAGGGGCTGAGGGAGCCTGGGCCCGCCTCGTGGCTGGAAGGGGGGGGAAGAGGCGAGGCCTTTCTGCAGCCGCTCAGCCAGCCCTTGCGGATCCAGGGCGTCCGATCCTGGGGGGAGGGGCGA